TAAAGAAGCAGAATCATTAAATGGTGGGTGTCGTCCTCTATCACAGTAGTATGAAGGTGATACTGCGACACGAGCAATGTCCAATTTGCATCTTCGTCTGCATTATAAACAATAACATCTTTGTTTCTTTAGCAAGTCAACAATGAGGGCAATTATGGTATTCTGGTTCTCTCCATTGATTAGGAACTATTTTCTTATTGCTGATAAACTTTATGAGTTAACTAAAATTAACATCTCTACTGGTATTTGTGGATCGTCAATTGTAATCTGCATCCTTGATTGTAGGAGACCCTTATGTTATAACTACACATAAAAACAAATCTTACATTACTAAACCCGCTATTAGAATGTATTTTTCGTAATGTTCCCGTTGTCGGTTTTTATGTGATTTTGAATATGTTGTTCAGTAAAGCTTCTGTAACAATTTTACTTACATTTACGGTATTTTGACTAGTTTTTAATAGTGTTTCTGGACTATAAGTGAATTGAAAATCGAAAAAGAAAGAACTTTTTCATTTAAAATTTTTAGAAATTTTAAATTTTTTTAATATGTCAAATTTGACAGGTACAACCGATAGAAAAAAAAATCGTCGAGGTTATTTTTAAATATAATTCAATGTATTTTTTTGAAATTTTTTTATATTTGACAGATATAGCCGATCGAGTGAAAAGATTATCCACGTCATTTTTTAATACTTTGGACGCAAAAATTCTTTATTAGCTCAAAATTTGTTTAAACTAAATAATAAAAAATTTCTCTGAACGAAATTATACCTATTACAGTACCTACACAAAATTTAATCAATAACCTTCGTTGAAATCCATCGTGATTTTTGGTATTCCTAGGATATTAAAATGGCTGTTTAATAAAAGTTTTATGGTTAATTTCCGCAAAACGTAATATCCCTTTTATCTCTACACCAAATTTGCATTTATCTGAAACGCGCTATCGATTTTCCTATAAACTCTGCTAAACAACGAAAAGGATAATGTTGATATAAATTTTAATTATTCCCCCTCCCACTCTCCCAACATTATTTACAACAAAACATAGTTGGCTTAAAATTGCTTATGATGGTAAGAAGTTGTGGTATCTCTTTACAACAAGAAAGTTTTTCTTCTTAATTACTTTAAAGCTATTTAGAGACAGTTTAAGATCTTTTAGTTCAATGGATTTACTAAAAAAATATACAGGGTATACTATTTAAAAAAAATATATATTATATATTTGCTTTATTTTGAAGAAATGATGAACTCGGTATATTTATAATTGACTTACTATGAAAACTAAATTTATTTCATAAAACTTTTATTAAATTTTTTTTGTAAATCAAAAATCAAAATATTGACAAACTAAGTAAGTTTTATGCACACTGTATATAAACAAACAATTGTTTATTTTCTGTCAATTGTGAATTTAGATAAATGAACTAAAATATTTTGTACGTACCTTCGTTAAAGTTGACATTTGACACGCATGCACACTTTAATTTAAAACCTATAAAAACATCAAAAAATAAACAATTTTTGTAAAACATTTTAGACTCTTAAAAAACTTCAAGAATAAACAACAAACTAGCAAAATAATTTTCAGTCCTCCTAAGTAGATAGGCACCTCCTAGCTCGAGAAGATTCTGACAGCACCATGATATGCAGATGCTTCCGTACTTGGCAATTACCAATCAGAATGCCTGTGATCGGGCGCAGATTTTGTCTAGTCATAGTCATGTATTTTTTTGCTGTAGTATTGTTAGGATAATTTAAAAGCTCCCTGGCTACTCTGCAGTTTCTTGTTTCGTCCCAAGTTTTATTAAATTTTACAAGGGAATGTCCTTAATTAGGCATGTCACTACCGATGTTGTTATTCCAATAGAGGGACCAAGTCAAAAATGTATTTGGTTGGCTGTCTTTTTGGCTAGTGAATCAGCAAGATGGTTACCTTTCGATGTAACGTGACCTTTGATTCATCTTAGGGTGACCACATTGTTGACGGATACTTTGGCCAAAGCATTGTGATATTCTTGTATTGACCCTGAATAAATTTTTGGTCTGTTCAGGGTGAGAAGGTTGAGTTAAGTTGTTACGGGTTTAATTTTACCTTAACCTAGACTAGTCTAAATTACCCTAGTTTACACTACTCTAAACTATTCTAACCTATTTTATTTCCTAGTCTACTTTATTGTAAATTATTCTAAACTATTTAACAATAATCTAAACTAGGTTATTCTTTTCTAAACTATCCTAAACTATTCTAAAATAATCTTAATTATTCTAACTTATTCTATTTACTATCCTACTCCATCCTAAATTAGTCTAACCTATTCTATTACTATTCTACCCTTAACTATTTACACTATTCTACCTTTAATCTATTCTACGGTACCCTAAATTATTCTACGCTTAACTATGTACACTATTCTACTTCTACTCTAACTTACCCTGAGCTATTCTAATTACTAAACTACTCTGTTGTTTTAGTATATAAATCCATAAAATAAATTCATTAAATAAATTCATAAAATATCCATTTTTATCAAACCTATTTTGTAGTGAAATATAAAATAATATTTTGTAATAAAATATAATTTCACCTGGATTATATTCAATAGTAATTAGTACCTTCAATAAATAATTTATAATGTAAGTAAATATATTTAGCTATTTTGAACAATAACTCTAGCTCATTTAAGTACTAAAAAGCTTTGTTTTAATTTTATTGTTATTGTTTACATTTGAACTCCTTTAGTTGTCAGATTCTTCTAAATTTATAAATATTGCTACAGTCTTACCAGAAATTATCCTATTACCCCTTTGTAGTCAGGGCCTGCTTGCTAAGACATTGACTTTTGTTAGTCATTTTGTGGAACTTTCTTCCTTTAGGAGTTTTTACGTGGATTCTGATTGTGGCATGTGCCAATATTTCATCTAGCATTTTCTAAGATTTATCCTTGGGAAAAACCACAGATTCCTTCTAATATATTGTTAGTGATCTTTGTGATTTATACACCCAGTGGTGGATATAGTATCGAAATGAAAGTGATACCATTAAGAACCTCCTGCGTTCGTGCGTTCCTTCCTTCGTTCGTGCGTTCCTTCGTTCGTTCCAATTTACATTCTACGGAAACGCTTTTATTAGCGGAATACTCCTGAAGACTGTGTGCAAGTTTCTCTTCACCTCTCCATATTAAATAGGGCTTCTCCAAAAAAGTTCTGACAATTCGATAGCCCCATCGAGTACGAAGTCATTTTCATAGTAGTCTGCTACCTACCTATATGAAGAGGAAGATGCCTAACTGGACATGAAGGGTGCTTAGTTGAGTTTACTTAACCACAAGTAAGACACTTCCTTTAATATACCTCGGAGGGGCCCATCTAATAAGGCTTAACCTCAAACGGTGCATATTATTTATTTAAATAGACGTTTAATTTCATTTTGTATATAGATTTCGATTGTAATAGTCATTTACCGAGGTTTGTTTTTTCGTATGGTTTTGTACACGACAAGCGCTTGACGTCATTCGGAATAACCACTCACTTGTATGTGGATTTTAATTTAATATTCTTTTATTTCTTGTATATTCATTGTGTGTATTACACTTATTGGTTCTAGTTTTATTTTTGACATTCATGAATCACGATTAGGTTAAAATAACGCCCTGTTTACAATCTATCAATCAAAGTTTTTTGCTTCGTAATATAGTGCTTGTATGCTCTCTGAATAGATGAGACGCATAGATGACGCCATCGATGCTGCGGTCGTTGCGTTTCCTATCTTTATGTCCCTAATCTTTGGCCAGAATAAATTTAATAAAAATAATAACTTATTATACATTTTGGATGAAGTATTATATTTTCTAATAGATTTAATCAACATTCACAGTTCGCAAAACTGGCGAATACATAACAGAAGAGTAAATCTTGAATCATCCAGTCTTAAGAAAAGATCTAGTAAGGATTATATAAAATATAAATGTAAACAATTTATATTTAGATAGGTGTGGCTACCACATAAAAAAATGCCATCGTAACGAGATATTATCATCATTATTATTTAAAGATTAAAAGAAATTTCACCTAATTGCAAAACCAGCAACGTTGTCGACTATATACGGCTTAGGCCTTGATACTTGTGTTCTATAAAAAAAACTAATCAGTAATTTGAACGGATCTATCGTTTAACAGAAAAATTGTTTTTTCTAATTAGTGAACTCTAATTAAATAGTAATAATATATTTTTCTAAACCCACATGGAGATTACAAAACAAAAAAGTATGCTATTGCCTTCAACTGAACGAATATATTTCATATCCATTCTAGGTAGTGAGAACACTGAAATAAAAATTAAATCCGCCATTCACCATTTATTGATTTTAAACGTACATTAAAATGGGTTATTACTGTGTAGAATCGATAAATAAATGCATTTATGTTTTTATTTCGTCTATAATTATAAATAATTTGTTAATTTAAATAAAACTATATTAGGTCAATTTAATTACGAATATTAAAGCGACAAAAATAGAAGAATAGGTGGTTCTGGGACCAGCGTTCTGGTCTTCCACGCAGAGGACTGGAGTTCGATTCTCGGATGTGGAAAAATAAAAACTATTAATAGTCATAAATTATTTTAAAATAAGTTATTTTGTGTTAATAACCTAAAGTATTTTTTATTTATAAATTTTCGTTAGTGGGTCGTAGAAAAAATATACTGTACAACTCGAGTAGATTGACCACATCGCACTCAGATGATTGAGCACTCTGCCTACGGCGTCGTGCTTAAATTTCGTCTTCGAGCTATATGGCCATCATATCCACTCTTGTTGCACAAACTACTATTTATTACAACTAGCGACACTTCAAAGTAAAACGAAATTTTTTTAATATTATGGAACATACACGGCTTTTTAATTGTTTATCTAGATATGAGAAATATTATATGAAGTTTCTTATTCAACTAATACCTCGTCGAAACGAAATTCATTATTTTTTCTTTGTTACAGATATCGACAGCGATCCTAACAGCGCGCCATCTTGCGACCCAGCCGTCTGCATCTTGCCCGATTGCTTCTGTTCCGAAGACGGTACGGCCATTCCCAATGACCTTCCGGCCAAAGACGTTCCCCAAATGATCACCATCACCTTCGACGACGCCATCAACAACAACAACATCGGCTTGTACAAGAATATCTTCAACGGCGAGCGTAAAAATCCGAACGGATGTCAAATCAAGGCTACGTTCTTCGTATCTCACAAGTACACCAACTACTCCGCTGTTCAAGAAATGCATAGGAAAGGTCATGAAATCGCCGTCCACTCCATATCGTAAGTACCGGTCATGGTTGTGGTATTAAGTGACTAATAAAAGTATAGTAGGTAGTTAACAATTAATAATCAATTAATTTCTTCTAGCTAACACAAGTAATTATCTATGTATTGTAATTCTTTTCTCAATTTTAACAAAGGTTTACAACAGCCCAACGGCTGTTAAGTATCCACTTCAGATCAAGTTAAGGTTGAGAAAGAACGTTTGTATTATAAAAAGATTGTAATTTTTGTTTTCTTATATTCCAGGAAAGGGTAATAACAACACTGCACAATAACAACACTGCACAATAACAACACTGCACAAATGCTTTTTATTCTATAGCGGAGCAGCCTTAAAGGCAAAGAAAGACTACCTAGAACATCCGGCGGAGCTACTAACCTTAGCCTGGTATCAAGGCTCGAAGGGTATCGCAGCCTTGAAACGGCCGATTAATTAATCAGATACAACTCCAAAAAATCAATGATTGGCCCAGAATCATTCTGTAGGGTTGCTAAAGCATCCTTTAATCAATAGATTTAAAAAGAGTCTTAAGAACGGTAGAACAAATTAACGAAATATCTTTCAGTTAAATAAAAAATTTGGATAAAAATAGGTCTGTATACCGTCTTGAGAAGGAATATGAACGCCATCAATCTATAATCTATTCTGCAATTTTCTAAATACTAAGAAAATTCTTATAAGAATGATCACATTGAATTCAATCTTGCACTCTTAGAAAGATCTAGTCTTTTCTGGTCGCACGATTTGAATACTTCGCATATTTCATTCCATGGATAAAGAGGTTTGGTCTCTTGGTTTAATTAAGAAGATTAAATTTGAATTATGTATATATTGAAGCGGAGATACTAAACTTTTTACCGCTTTAAACTAACATAATCATTTTGAAACGTTTCTTTTCAGAAATTAATTATTTTCTTTCTCTCTTACAGCCACAATGACGACGAACAATTCTGGTCGAATGCCAGCGTAAACGATTGGGTCAAAGAAATGGGTGGCATGAGGATAATAACAGAAAAATACGCCAACATCACCGATAACAGTGTAGTAGGAGTACGCGCGCCGTACCTAAGAGTAGGAGGCAACAACCAGTTCACTATGATGGAAGAAGAAGCATTCTTGTACGATTCAACCATCACAGCACCATTGAACAACCCACCATTATGGCCTTACACAATGTACTTCAGAATGCCGCATAAATGTCACGGTAACATTCAAGCTTGTCCAACGAGATCCCACGCCGTTTGGGAAATGGTACTTAACGAGCTAGATAGGCGGGAGGATCCTGAAAATGATGAGTATCTACCTGGTTGTGCTATGGTTGATTCTTGTTCGAATATCTTATCGGGAGACCAGTTTTACAACTTCTTGAACCACAATTTCGATAGGCATTATAACGAAAATCGCGCACCTCTTGGTCTTTACTTCCACGCAGCTTGGTTAAAGAATAACCCAGAATACTTAGATGCCTTCCTATACTGGATAGATGAAATCCTAGCTAATCACAATGACGTATATTTCGTGACAATGACGCAAGTTATCCAGTGGATCCAGAACCCAAGAACTGTCTCAGAAGCCAAGAACTTCGAACCATGGAGGGAAAAGTGTGTCGTCGAAGGTATCCCAGCCTGTTGGGTACCTCATACCTGCAAGCTCACTTCCCCAGAAGTTCCTGGTGAAACTATCAACCTTCAAACTTGCGTGAGGTGTCCCAATAACTACCCATGGTTAAATGACCCCACAGGTGATGGTAACTTCTAAGTCAGTTCTAGTTGAATTTATAATAGGATAGGTCTTAAAGCAGCGGGGCCTCTAGATGGAAGGGGCACTCTAGTGATCAAATGTTAACAATTATTTTTTCGTATTTATTTGACTGTATGCGTGAATTTTTTGTTGTTGTAATGGAAACTACGAAATGAAATAGACTGTTAAAGAATTTTTGCATAAGTGACTCTCACTGTTTTATGTAATATACACTCCTACTAGGTATTTTGTAAAAAAAATTGTATTTTTGTATGTTTTGTAGAAAGAAATAAAATTATTTCAAAAGTTGGTTATATTTATTTTATTAAAATCATTTACAGTACAGTCTTGTTTCATTTCCTTCGTCAGACAAGGATCAGGTAAGAACAAAATATTTTTTATCTATTAAATTCCGATCATATACTTTAAAAGGAGACCTTGAGGAAACATCTATGAAAAAAAAAAAACATTTAGGAGAATCACACTATACCATACCATTAAGATCAGTTTCATCTACTTTAATAGTTTAGAGGCTAAGATAACGACGAATAAAAAACAGGAATATTAGGATAGAAGACATAGAAGGCGTGGAAAACACATATATTATAAAAAAATACTGATAATTTGATAAAATTAACATTTCGTCTTATGGTTTTATTACAGTAATTTGTCCAAATTTGGGTCGAACACAATGAAATTATTTCAATAGTAATTATAAAAGAAATAAAAATATAATATAATCAACAGAAACATGCGAAGAAAGAAGAAAAACTAAGAAAGATTAAGAGGAAAAAAATAGAAGACGTTGAAAACAGAAATATAAAGAAAAATTACTCTAAGCAGTCAAATTGACGCCGTCATTGAGGATAGTGAGAATTTTAAAATAATTTTAGCAGAATTTAAACATAATTTGAACAGAATTTGAACAGAATTTGAACAGAATTTGAACAGAATTTGAACAGAATTTGAACAGAATTTGAACAGAATTTGAACAGAATTTGAACAGAATTTGAACAGAATTTGAACAGAATTTGAACAGAATTTGAACAGAATTTGAACAGAATTTGAACAGAATTTTAACAGAATTTTAACAGAATTTTAACAGAATTTTAACAGAATTTTAACAGAATTTTAACATAATTTTAACAGAATTTTAACAGAATTTTAACAGAATTTTAACAGAATTTGAACAGAATTTTAACAGATTTTTAACAGAATTTTAACAGAATTTAAACAGAATTTTAACAGAATTTTAACAGAATTTTAACAGAATTTTAACAGAATTTTAACAGAATTTTAACAGAATTAACATTCTTTATTATGTTGTTACTACAATTACTAGTTTAGTTGGCACAGTCAGTGCAGACAAGAAGGATTTTGACAGAAAACTTCAATAATAAGTTGTTATTGCACAATTATATAACAGTTTCTAGTTTAGTTGATCTAGAACCTGCAAAGAAAATAAAAAACTAATGAAGATTAAGAGAGAATAGATGACTCTGAAAACAGAAATATTAAAAAAATGTATCTAAGCAGACATACAGCAAGAATTGGAAAATTGGCGCAGTCAGTAAGTATAGTGAAAATTATGACAAACTTGCGATGATAAATTAAAATTGATTCTTAATATTCACTACATTTATTAGTTTAGTCGATCTAAAGACCAAAATTATCAAGCAGCTTAGTCATAATTGTCTAAATTTTTGTAGAATATTAAGAAGTTGTTTTAACTGGTATTATAATAGAAAGAAATAACATATTTAGCAGAAACCTGTAAAGAAAGAAGAAAAAATTGACAAATATTAGCAGAGAAAAATAGAAGGCGTTGGAAAAGAGAAAAAATTGGCGCAGTCAGTAAGGATTATTGCAGAAAACTTATTACAGTTACTAATTTAGTTGATCTAGACACCAAAATGACCAGATACCCGCACCATATTTTTCTCAATTTTTGCGAAATTATTTCAATAGTAATTATGAAAGAAAGGGGTCAATCAAATTAATTTTGCATTGACCCGCACTTTATTGTTAATACCTACGGGATTTTGAGTGATAATACGTAAATCACAACCAATTTTGAAGGTTTTGGTTAAGATTTAAGTGTGTAATGTAAAGAAAGAAGTAAAACTGACAAAGATTAGCAGGGAAGAAATAAAAGACGCTGGAATACATAGAGAAAAATTGGCGCAGTCAGTAAGGATTTTGACAGAAAACTTATGATTTTAAATTAACATTGCTGCTTGTGTTGTTACTACAGTTAAGACCAAATGACGATATTTTTCTTAATTTTTGCTAAAAACTATGAAGTTATTTGAAGAGTAATTATGAAAGAAAGGAATTAATAAAATTAATTTTGCTTTAACCCGCATTTTATTATTAATTTTAAGTGACATTATCCATATCCAAACCAGTTTTAAATGTTGTGGATTAGATTTAAGCGTATAATGTACAATTTCAAACAGCAGGGTACACATACCAAACACAATTTGGTCTTCATAGTCAGTTATCTCTTTATGGAAAAATAATATAAAAATTCTCAATAATTGTTAAGGCAAGAATAAAACAAAACAGAATATCTTAAACAGTAAGTATAAAAAGAGCATGGGTTAAAAAATGATAGAACGAGATTGACCAGGACATATAAAAAATTTAAATGTCAATACTAGTGAATACCAAAATTAGTCAGTAAAGGAATTATTGAGTTTTTTAGGATTCCGTCACCACGATAACTGTAACGAATGATTCATTCGAATGTAATTACCTCCTATAAGTAAAAAATATCGCGATTTATGGCATAGTTGTTCTTCTTTTCTCTTCCCTGATATTTCAAATCCTTTCACATTCACCTACGATGAAAATAAACATTTGAAATTCATTACGCCGCAGCAAAGTCGTAACTGTCAAGGTCTCGTCGTAAACGTTGATGGATTAATTCAGTTATACAGGGTGGCACTGAAAATAGCGCGTTTCTTTCATTTACCGTTTTACACTTGTTTTTTTTTTAAGTACTACACGACGCAAATCTTAGAAAAAAATTTGTCGCTAAAAATATTAAATCAGTCACACTCTTTCGTGTAGGTAAACCGAATGATAGATATCCACGCATGATCATTGTTATCTTTTCTAACTGTTCTGCGAAATAAACGAAAGCTTCTAGAAAAAGCTGCAACTAAAAAGTTCTCCATCACTGATGATAAGACTCAAGTTCAATGTCTGAAGGATCTTCGATCAAAATTGGAAACAAGGCAAAACAGTCGAGAGTCAAATATAACAAATATATACAGGGTACTCCGAAAATTATTAAAATTTTTCGCCAGTAGCACATGCGAAAGCCCCCAACTAAACTGGAAATGTTAAAAGACAGGATAAGATAATCTGAGAGACAGTGGTCCAAAACTACATCAAAAACTCATTTCTTTTATAATGCATCTTTATAGATTAGATTAGATTGGGAGTTGGACGTTGTTTGTCCTTTTCGCGACCTTTTCAGATCTATTGTGAAACTCCGTTTAATTTAGAGTATGTCGTCTAGCTTGGTATTTTTTATTAGACTTAGTAGCTTTGACAGTGGCTCCCGCATGTAGTTGCATGCGTTTGGCTTTTCTTCGTCCAATGTTAGAAACCTCATTCGAGCCAGGCCTTCACATTGTCTGTCATGGCCTTATCTGAGCCTTCTCGGGCTAATATCAGCCTTTTCGTTGCCCTGATATCTCTTATGGCCTGGAAGTCAGGCTAAGGTCACCTTGTTTTGACTACTTAGCTCTGCCAAGTCTTCTAGACAGTCTTTCACCAGGCGAGAGAATTGCCTTTAGAGCTGCTTGGCTATCAGAGTATACGGCAGTAGTTTTGCCTGATACTTGCTGATTTAATATGGCTATTAGTTCAGCCTGGAACACTGTTGTATATTTTCCTAAACTCAGCGAAATCGTTGTTTTCAACTTGGGTCCATAGATTCCAGCACCGACTCCTTCATTTGTTTTTGAATCGTCTGTGTACCAGACGAGTTCAGCCTGTATGGAAGGTTCCTGTTTCCAGGATTCTCGGGCGGCTATTTGAATTTGAAAATTTCTTTCAATTTTCAATTTTTCAATATGTTGTTATGGCTCTATCAGTAGGCATAGCAAGAATATTATCCTTTTTTTCTTACTGATATAGCCTTGTGTGATCGACGATATGTGGTTGGCTTATTGGGTTTTGTCCCTGCATTAGCCTGTGAATAGCTGACTTGGTTTCTTTTTGCATGAAGATGTGCAGTGGTGTGAGATTTAATAATACCAGTAGCACTTAGACAGGTAAGCCGCTGAGTGCCAGTGAGTTGGCCTATTACACTTGCCTGTGCAGTTTTGGTTACCCACGTCACTGCGCCATAGGTTATCATGGGCCTTTTACCCTTGTGTATAACTATATGGTCATTTTGGGGTTTAGACCCCAGTTTTTCCCATATATTCTTCTACGGCTTACGAGAGCTATAGTAGCTTTGCATCTAAGTTTTTTGAGATGTTGATTCCACGTCAGCCTTTGGTCAAATATGACTCCGAGGTATTTGGCTTCTGTGACGAATGGGATAACTATTTAGTACTAGTGGTCTTAGTCCTGTAAGTACCCGTTTTTTTGTAAATGGTACAACTGTTGTTTTTTTTGTGCGTTAATGGACAATTATTCACATGTTTACAGCTATTTGAGATCGCTCCGAGACTGTGCCTGCAAATCGCCCCCTGACGATAATTGCTAGGTCGTCTGCGTATCCTAGGCACTGGTAGCCTTCTTTGGACCATCTTTTGAGTAACTCGTCCACAACAACTGACTACAGCTTTGGAGATAATATTCCTCCTTGTGAGCAGCCCCGTGTTGCTTTTGCCTGTATGGTTGCCTTTCCTAGAGTGGATAATATAATCCTGTTCTCTAGACAGGCAGTGATCTATTGGTATATTATAACTGTAGCCTTGGTACATCTTTATAGCTCAGATTCATATACATATTACGCTAGAAGGAAAGTAAAGGGAGGAAGATATATTATGACTTTAACATTCTACGTTGGCTATCTAATACTAGCCTGTCAAGATTCAAGATGAGCAATGAATGATAGAAACTTTGAACTACTGGTTAGGTAACGAATTCAAACTTCAAAATGACAATGTCGTAAATATTTGACTAAATAAATATGTTTTGGATATTCTAGTGCAATATTGATACTTCTACTTTGATATTTTCCAATTCTAGCAAAACTTAGGTTAGTCTTCGTCTCCGATCCTTAAATAGTTTATTAAGCCAACCGACTTACCACATTTAGTATCATTAGTAAATTTTTTCCTGTTCTTTTTTTATCGTTCGTCTTCGTCAATAT